ATCTGAGTAATTTGTAAAATGTCCTGTGAGGAAATTCAATATCTTGTACAAAACTCCTAATAAACTCACAGTAAAATATTAGCTGAAACCAATAGCCAGCAAGATGCTTAAAGAAAAAAGAACACTAGAATTAGTGTGAACTACTATAGAAGGTTTCAACTTGCTATCTCTGCCCTTAAAGTCCACGAATGATTATCAGGGGAGTCTGTGTATAGTTAAAGTAAATGTAAAAGGAAGCGTGCATATTTACACATTTTTATAGATTTTTTTTTCTTTTCTGGGGAGCAGGTTTATAGCTCTAATCATATTCTGTAACTACTTTGATCGAAGACCAAGTGTTTAAAAATGAAAAAACAAAAAAGAAAAAGACATAATAGAATACCTTACAGTACTACTTTTTAAATATTATCCTTGCTATGAAAGGCCATTGTAACTAGACAAGAAAATCAAATAATAAGATACTTGTATGTTTCCCCAAAGGAAGCCAGCTTCACTTAAACATAAAATGAATAGACTGAAAATCTGTCAAGTTTCCATAAATATTTCCTATTTCTTGTGAGTTTTGGACAGAAGCTTGATAGTCGATCGACTGAGATTACTTTTTCTGAAGAGAATGTGGAATATGACATTGAGTTCCTAAATAATCAGAGGTCCCTCATGCTTTAGCAACTATAAAAGCCAGTGGTAAATTGATAGCTTTCCATACAATATTAGATAATAAAATACACCATCACTCTTGACTACATTTCTTATAATGAATGTCTGAAAACATCATTTCTTTTTTGAAATTAACCAGAAGTATGATTGTGCCTTACCTATGAAATATTGATTCAGAAATCAATGTGTACACATACAAATGTGTATTTATATATACCTAATTATAATATTTATTACTGCATATAAAACTGATGTATAACAAAGACAAAGAGACTTTTTCATACTACTATTAATAAAAATGATAATGTTTCCAGTAGTTTCACGCACCATGCAATATATTAGTTGAGTGTGTTGGTGCTAAGTAACATTTTGTTTTTCTTTAAATTTATAAAGTACTTTCACATAAATTGTCATTCTCAGGTTTAGAATAAATGGTTTATTATTGTTATAATGGTATATCTCTGGAATTTACAGCCCTGCAAATGTTCTTCATTAATATTCATTGAACAATTATAAATACAATTTTCATTTTTTTAATAAAATTGTTTCCTGGTGAAAGTCTGAAATTCTGTTGTCCTTCCTGTAACTTTTTAGTCCCCTCTGTATACTGCATTCATTGCCCTTGTGGACCAACCAAGCCTCAGAGGATGTATCTGGAATGGCCAGGTTATTTCTTGTCACACATCTCTTCATTCTCCAACTTTGGTAGTGAATTTCACTTTAGTCTTCTCATTAGAAGGGAATCTGAAACGATTGTACCTAGAAAATTTTTTCCTCCCATTTTAACTCTAAATGGATCCCTGAGGCCTAGTTTAATTCAAGAAATCCTTTAGGTGCTGGTTTCAAACTTCAGGTGATGCTAACATAAACAGGAGACCCCTTCCCCAGGTCTTTACAAGATTAATGTATTGACTCTTTAACAGTGATGAAGTAAGTAGCTGTTTCCTACTGCTTGATAGTCTTACATCATTTTTATTTCAACTCCTTAAATCATCACCTGTACAGAGAAGTCCTCAATGACCACATCTACCTTCTCACCATTCTATGGTACTTAGGCACCTTTTGTTTTATGCCAATATTTGAAACATTATTTTCATCACAGCAAAGGAATAAAATAATTTTAGTTTTAACTTCGTTCTTTTGTTAAGAATTATGAATTACTGCTCTGCCTCTATACAACACTGCCACATCTTTTGTCTTTGTTGTCATCTTTTAAGTGCTACAAATCTTAAGGGAATGTTAGAATTGTCACTATTTTTCAACATGCATAAGATATATGTAGTTCTAGCTGCATGGAGTGTACTATGTAAGATCTCTACGTAGTGCAGCTACCAGCTAGCACTGGACTGCTTGTTTGGAAAGGCCTATTTATTACCTTGCTGGACACCAGCAAGGCGCTTGTAGATTCTGAAAGCAGACTCAGATGGAGTTCAGTGGTAGGGAGAGAGAGGAAAAGGAGAGGAAATATTAAATGGGAGTAGTAGAGCTGTGATACAGGACACAGTGCATCTTGGCTTTCTCCATAGTCAGCTGGGAACTGCAGGAGCAAAAACAATTCATCAGTGTTATGCCACACTAGGCCAAAATGATCAGGCCTTTATAACCTGGCCTCAGTCAGCCATTGGATGTGGATCATCCTTGGGCAAGGTGATCATACTTTCCACAGCTTTGGTAATCCCTAAAGGGGCTGACAAGTCTTCCAGTAGTTTAGGTAACAAGCAATTCTTTTAAGTCAGAATCTGTGCAGTACATTTCTGGGTCCATCCATCACAGCAACACTATTCTAAGTATAGGCATACATATTATGGCATCATTAATCTATTGGTGGGGAGGAGATGTAGAGGGAGGAGAGGTGGGTGGAATAAAACATATGCAAATGAAAACATAGCTAAGGTTTTTAGACTAAGATAAAGTATGTGTCTTTGTATCCTCATGATTTGTATTTCAAATTCTTAAACAGATGATGATAAATGAATGATTTTGCTTGAGAATTACCATTTCAATCTAGTATACTTTTTATAGTCTGATGAAAAATCAGTTGAAATTAATCCAAGAAACATGGTGTTTACAAGAATGACGAGTAGTTCAATACTCTTATTTCTCAATCAATAAAGAATTGATGACCTCGATAATTATAAGAACACCATGACCCTAAAGCTAGAGCTATAAAATGTACCAATAATACAGAAGTTAAAGGCAGTGGAAGTTAAGAATTAAAAGACCAGTGAAAGATAAATTATATTAATAAAACTATAAGCATAGATTGTGAATATTCGGTCAATATAAAATATTTAAATGTATGTATCAATGTACCTTTTTAAATAAAGTTAAGTCAGATGGGTAAATAATGTGTACCAATCATTGTTTCTAATATTTTAGGCAGTAGAATTTAGACTTGCCTCTGAGGAAATACTTTAGGCATTCATCTTGTATATTTCACTAAAGCAAATTATAGCCTTAGATTTCCACTCTGAGTTCTTGTTTAAAACAGTGTGTTTCATGGAACAAAAAAGAAATCTAGATGTATTCAGAGACAAAGCCAGAAGACAAAAACAAAATCTGACAGAAAGGCAAGCCATATCCTTCCTTCCCAGGCATTGCATGACCCCCATGCCATCAGCATCAGTGAAGCCCACTCTGCAGTCCTTTCTCAGGCAAGGCTCCTACCTAAGAACTTCTCCAAGGGAAGCTTGAGGAGTCTGCCCACTGCTGTCAGGAAGCCTGAAGAATTCTTTGTGCAATCTGAATAAAACTAAGTCTATCTAATTATGCAGTCAGATGTTTTGGTTAACTGTCCCACTCTTCGTTCTAATTATCACCTATCCCAAAGGCGAGAGCTTCACTTTACAAAAAACAGAAAGAACAAGGTTAACTTTCCCTCCCAAACCTCTTCATAGATGAGAAAACACACAGCTGGAATCCTCAACACACTTAACTGCAGTATTTATCAACATAATTTGCTGTTTTTCTAAATAGAAATTCACACAAAACTAACAAACACCCTTGAGAAAAAAAAATGTAGTTACTAAAACTGAGATGCTTTGTATGCTGGAAGTTTGAATTAATGGACTTGAGCTACCAAAAAGGAAATTGTTAGCGAATCTCAAATTGGTTGGAGATTAAATTAGGAAATTTTTTTTTAACTTGAAAAACTAACACCTAATTCAATTATTTGTTATGCATTTTGATCCAGATTAAGGTAGTAACACCTAATGGCTGACTCTCACATACTAATAAACATTACCATTTCTGTGAATACATCCAAGGGCAGGCTGTACTTTTATTTCCAACCAGCTCAGTAGCAGCTAAAATGCTTTCCTGGATTGTTATGATCTCCAGTTCTTAAAAGCAGTTACTTGAACCCTAACATGATTTTCATGAAGCTTATCTTATATTCTAATACATCCACAAGCAAGTAGGTTTCTTATTTGAGTAGATTCCTCACTTATCTTCACTTTTTTTATTTTTTACAATAAACTTGCAGTTGTGAATTGGTTAAAATGCATGTTTTTGTGATATATTCCCTCATGCTCTTCTTTATGAGTCCTTATGGTATCTGTTGTCCCAATGTGCTGTAAGTTGTGTTAAATTTTTACCTTTTCTGAAATTAGATAATTATATGCCTGTGCTATATTTTGTATGTAATTATACACTATTAATATCCATTATCTTACCCAGGAACCTATCTTTTCTCAAGAACTGTACAAATCTTATTTTCTCATCAGCTTTCAGTCATATGCTTTCATGTGCTTGCTAAATACAGTAATTTTAATGTCCTTCTATCTCCACCAACTCAACATATTTGGAATTACTATCAGATTTTTTCATGTCATAAGTTTTAGTGGTAATAATTCATACATATTCTTTCCTATCTTTCAACTTTCATACCTCAATCTATTTTGCTATAATTAACTTTGATTGGCAAGATCATAATTTAAAGCAGAGAAAAATAGCATATGTAAAGTGAAGAGCTCCAGCAGAATGGGAAAACCATACTGACACAGGCACTTACCAGTGCGCCAGAGGCCTGTGAGATGGTAGTGCATGGTATCGAGTGTATGGTGACAGAAAATAAACACAAACCTCTGCAGGATTAGCAAAAAACCAGCTAAGGTTTTGGAAGTGACAAAGTATAAAAATAGTATGTGGCTACAGAGCTGATAAAAAAGCAAAGCATGGTGCATAATGATTTCCTTCTAAAGAATACAGCATGGAATGGGGAAGCATAACTTTACAGTGAAGAAACTGGCAAACACTAGCTCATCCAAGTAATGAAGGTCAACATCAAGAGGGGTGTCATGTTGATTGCATACACAATTGTGATTTGATGAGAACGCACTTACCTCTGTGGTTGTCTTCATCCGTTTGTGCTGCTGAGAGGTGACAATGTGCTAGCAGCCCTCAATCTCAGAGACTCCTCGGCCTCTGCGTCCACTCTGGCGGCGTCTGAGGAGCCCTTCAGCCCACCACTGCACTGTGGGAGCCCCTCTCTGCGCTAGCCGAGGCCGCAGCCGGCTCCCTCTGCTTGCTGGGATGTATGGAGGGAGAGGCGTGGGCGGAAACCGGGGCTCCACGCGGCGCTCACAGACCAGCGTGAGTTCCGGTGGGCGCTGGCGCAGGCCCCGCGGCCCCCCCGCGGGACCCCCCGCCCAGGGCAGTGAGGTGCTTAGCACTCGGGCCAGCAGCTGCGGAGGTTGCGCTGGGAGCCCCAGCACTGCTGGCCCGCATGTACCCCGCTCGCTGGCTCTCAGCTGCCTCCCCGCGGGGCAGGGCTCAGGACCAGCAGCCCGAGTCTCCCCCAGGAGCGCCGCCCCCTGCTCCGCAGCGCTTGGTCCCATCAACCGCCCAGGAGCTGAGGAGTGCGGGTGCATGGTCCGGACTGGTAGGCAGCTCTGCCTGCAGCACCCTTGCACGATCAACTAGGTGAAGCCAGCTGGGCTTCTAAATCTAGTGGGGACTTGGAGAACTTTTATGTCTAGCTAAGGGATCATAAATGCACCAATGAGCACTCTGTATCTAGCTCAGGGTTTGTAAATGCACCAATCAGTACTCTGTGTCTAGCTCAAAGTTTGTAAATACACCAATCAGTACTCTCTATTTAGCTAACCTAGTGGGGACTTGGAGAACTTTTCTGTCCAGCACTGTGTCTAGCTCAGGGATTGTAAATGCACCAATCAGCACCCTGTAAAAATGGTCTTATCAGCTCTCTGTAAACCAGACCAATCACACTCTCTGTAAAATGGGCCAATCAGCAGGATGTGGGTGGGGCCAGATAGGGAATAAAAGCAAGCTGCCAGAGCCAGCCAGCAGCAAAAATCTGCTGAGGGTTTGTTTTGTTTGCTGTTTGCAGTAAGCCTTGCTACTGCTCAGTCTTTAGGTTTGAGCCAGCTTTATGAGCTGTACCATCTTTATGAGCTGTAACACTCACCGTTAAGGTCTGCAGCTTCACTCCTGAAGTGAGCAAGACCAGGAACCCACCGGGAAGAATAAACAACTCTAGACGCATTGCCTTTAAGAGCTATAACACTCACCAGGAAGGTCTGCAACTTTGCTCCTAAAATCAGCCAGGCCGGGAACCCACCAGAAAGAAGAAACTGTGGATACATGTGAACATCTGAAGGAGCAAACTCAGGACGCACCATCTTTAGGAACTGCAACACTCACTGCACTGGGTCTGCGGCTTGGTGAGACCAAGAACTCACCAATTCCAGACACACCATTTTGGTGAAATACCATAGATTAATTTACAAAGAAAAGTTTTTTTTGTTTTGTTTTGTTTTGTTTTGTTTTCTGGAGCCAGAGAAGTCTGAGTCAAGGCATTGGCAGGTTCAGTTGTCTGCTGAGGGCTTCTGCTTCCAAATTGGTACATTGCTGATCTTCCAGAAGAGAAGAACAGTTTCTTCACATGACAGAAGGTACAGAAATGTTGAAAAGGGGCTAAATCTAGATGAAGCCTGTAGTATAAGGACTTTAATTCTATTCAGGAAGGGAGGAACTGTCATGGTCTAAAGTCTTAAAGGCCCTGCGTTTTAATAGTATCAGCCATTAAGTTTCAACACTTGAATTTTGGCGGGGACACATTTAAACCAGAGCAGTGGCCTTCCTCTTAACCCTTGTCTAACCGTGAGAAAAACGTAAGACAACCTAGATTTAAAAATATTTTACAACTTGCATGATCAATAGTCCTCCAAACTTCAAGTTCATCACAAAGTAAGAATTATTAAAACCACGTAAATCTTAGAAACAATTACAGTCTAAAGGAACCTGAAAAGATGTGAAGACCAAATGGCGACATAGTGTCCTCAATGAAATTCTGGAAAAGAAAAAGGACTTTAGCCAAAAACTTAAGACAATATGAATAAAGTATGTGCAGTACTTAATAATGTATCAATATTTCTTTAATAGTTGTAATAAAGGTGTGAAAAGAGATTGAGTACAGGTGTATAAGAACGTTGTACTATTCTTACAACTTTTCTGTAGATCTAAAATTATTTGAATATAAGTATTAAAATTATATAAAGCAGAAATAATTCAAAGAAATTAGGGAAGCTATTTGGGCAGACATCAGAAAGATGAAGTCATAGAGTTAAGATAAAAACTTTGGGATGGATGTCAGGGGAACTGGAAACAGTGTTTTGGTCAGGGATTAGGAAACGTTTTGTGTAAAGGGCCAGTAAGTATTTTTAGCTTTGCAGGCCATGTAGTCACTGTAAATACTCAATCTGCCATTGTAAGGTAATAGTAGCCACAGACAATCCATAAACAAATGAACATGACTGTTTAACAAAATTTTCTTTACAAAAACAAGTGATGGTCTAGATTTTGTCTCTGAGTTGGGGTTTATCACCCCTAATCTACTAAATCTACTGCAATAAAAATCCAGGGAATTAAGACAGAAACAGGGAAAATAGGACAGGCATCCCGTCCTTAGAACTGGAATTTAAAATAGGGATTGGTTAAAAGGGCACATGGTCCTAACTGCCTGAGCAGTGGTACAAATCACAGAGATTTATTGTGAGTTGTCAGAGTTATTGACTATGACTCTTTAAATTCCCTTGACTGAGAACATGATCTGCTCCAGAGGATGTACTAAGAAGACAGGCAGGCACAGAGCCTGGAGCCATTTTCTCTGACCATTACCTAGAAAGCAGATTGTTCTGTATTGTTGATCAAGCTCAATCAGTGTTCAACCACATTAATAAAACACCTTTTCTCCCCCTACCAAATTCTTGTAGGAAATGTTCTCTGCGTATTGCTCAGGAATCACAAATCAATTCTTTGCTGAATCATAGGAGGTAGACAAGTGTTTGCCCTTTTTGCTGCCACAATTTAAGAATCTAAGAAAGGGCTAGTGCTTCCTTAAAGATTCAATTAATCTGTTGCCTATTTTGTCTGAAGATGAAGACATAAGGGTGTTGATAACGTGGTATACTCAAGGACTGAACTAAACTTCCATCAATATAGGCTTCACCCTGTATGTCAGGCTCTGATTGGGCTACCCCTCATTCATTCTCATAAATCACACAAAGCTTCTCAGAAGCACAGTATGTCACCAGAGGAGAGTCAAGAACTGTGGGCCCACTTTTGAACCTTCTGAGGACCAAAACTTTCCATCATCTCAAACACTGTTTGACTTGAAGCACTACACTAGGAACTACCTGTAAAAATGGGCGTTCCATTAGAACTGGGGGATGCAGAAATTTACCTTTGCCAGTTAACTCATTGGCATGAAGTTCTCTACCAGCTTAGTTCCAATCCAACTCTTACTTTTGACAAGAGGAAATACCAATAATCAGAGGTATATGAAGAAAATTGCTTAAAATTGAGATATAGTAGAACAGTAGCCCTGAATAGTCAGATATTTAGAAGTGACCTCTAGGGCACAGAGAGGTGAGAGGTGGGTGCTTAAGACATAAGAAGAATACCAGCTGAAGATAAATTGGTACCTACTCATGCCCGGATGTGACAAAGACCCTTTGTAATCTACATGGCAGCTGCTGATCACATGAACATCAATCCCCTTGTCTCACTTGTATCTATTAGATGAAGTTAAATACTACTTGAAATCCTTAAAATGTTTTATAGATCAACTGTTTTCTCCACAATTCTTAGAGCTTTATGGCTTTATTAGTATATTTTATTGTATTTCCTTTTTATTTCCATTTTCCAAATAATGGAAATATTTTTGACCTACAAAATACATGATTGACCTATGAAATACACATCATATTGGTACTTTTGAGACAGTTTAACTTATGTTTTGTTTTTTTTGTTTGTTTGGTTGTTTTTTTTTGACAGAGTTTCACTCTTGTTGCCCAGGCTGGAGTATAATGGCGTGATCTCGGTTCACCACAACCTCCGCCTCCTGGGTTCAAGCAATTCTCCTGCCTCAGCCTCCTGCATAGCTGGGATTACAAGCATGCATCACCATACCTGGCTAATTTTTTTTTGTATATATATATATTTTTAATAGAGATGGAGTCTCGAATTCCCGACCTCAGGTGATCCACCCACCTTGGCCTCCCAAAGTGCTGGGATTTCAGGCGTGAGCCACCGTGCCCGGCCAACTTATGTTTTTAAATGTGTGTCCTTGGTGGTAAATGGGATCATAGATTAAGAACATCAACTTTTTTTCAAATTCTTTAATCTAAAAGAACAACGGACATCAACATTCTTACTACATTTCTTAAAAGTTTGACATATTTTTAGGCCAAGGCGAACAGAACTGAATGAGATCTGACAAAGATCAGACACTGTTATTTCAAGGAAATAAAACAAATTGATTGAAGGTCAACATGCCATCAGAATCCAAACTGCTAATAATTCAGGACTGAACCTACATTTTAAGACTTATTAGTCTGATTATTTTACTAAACAATGTAAAAAATGTATGCCCATGCTATACTCTTCATTTCCCTTTTTTGTTGTGTTATGCTTACCTTTAAGGGTATTTTCAGGCTTCTTTTATCACTATATCTGAAAAAAACAGACAGTTATTGTAATAACACATTGCAAGACTATACCATAAAAGAGGCGCACCCATGTGGTTTACAATCAGTAACTTTTTTTTTTTTTTATTGCTCAGATGTCTTAAGGTTAAAATGGGAAAAGCTTTTGATGGCAGAAGGGTGGAGGTCTCAAAATAAAATGTGTCTAGTAGAAGAAGAGAAGGCTACTAAATCCCAGAAAATGTCAGGAAGTGGGTCATAGCACTTGCTGTAAGGTCGGCAATCTCTCAGGGTGCCTACAAACCACTGGTAGAAACTTCCTTTTAAAAAAGTCCTAAAGTAAAGCTGTGGTTGTGTTGTCAGAATTTTTATATCTATCCCTAAATATCCTTGGGCAGAATTAGGGGGTGTGGGTTCTAATTGCAGTTTAACTTCTAAGAAACTGAATGTCCTTGTATGAACCAACTTACACTTTCTAAAATTCATTTTCTTCATTGTTGAATTTAAAAGTTTGAACGATATCAGTGATTTCCAACCTGACAGCATACCTGTGTTGTTTAATGGTATATAAGGTTGTGAGTAACAGAAATCAGATAACTTTA